TGAGATCCTAAAACTGTCTTTATGCATGTTGTTTTTGAAATCACACATTCTTGTAATCTTATTTCTTTTACCTATTGATGTTTGTTCCTTTGCATTCAGGGTGGTCTTTTTTTGTTGTTGTTGTTATTATTAAATTGGGCTATGCAGCCCAAAAATTCTCCCATTTGTTCCCTTCTCTCAAGACTCTGACTTCTCTCAAGCATAATGCAACATCCTGCTTTCCTTGGGAATCCAGTGTTTTCATCAAACTTTGGTTTTATTTACTTTACATTGCAATGTGTATGTAAATATAAATTTGTAATTTTGTAATATATATTTGTACAAATTGTGGAGCACTTAAATAAAATAAGTAAAGAGTTAATTGACCATCTGAAGATTTATATATTAGTACTGCTAGTGTTCAGAGGAAAATAGTTTCTCAGATCTCAATTTTCTATTTAATATTTTTAAAAACCTGTAACGTTAATTCAAATGTTTTATTCACTTCAAAAGCTGAATGCAAAGTCAATATTTAAAGTTTACGAGTTCTTTACATACATTATTCTCAGTTGATATTTACAACTCATTATTCCCATCTTATAGATGACAGACAGAGGTTCAAAGAAGTTAAAAAGTGAACTGAAGTCTCTGTTAGCTTGATGGTCTAGCTGTTCAGAGCTCCCGTCCAAATTACAAGGTGCTGAAAGTGACTGACAGAGTACTAAGATGTGAGCTCCTTGAGGGCAAGTACTGTCTTTTGCCTCTTTATAGCCTCAGCATTTAGTACAGTGCCAGGCACAGAGTACATGCTTAATAAATGTTTACTGATTGATATTTACTGGAAAATGCATAGGATCAAGTGGAAATCAGCAGCTCAGAGGGTCATTCCCCCCAGTTCTGAAGCAGCAGCCCTACTCAGCCTAGCAGCTTCCTGTACTCTGGAAAGTACTCCTGTACTGTGGGCTCCATTAATCAAAGGGACAAGAGAACATTGCCCCAGTGCTAAGCTGGTTCATAACCTCACTCAAAGGAGAGGCTTTTATGTACCAAAGAACAGCAGAATGGAAAAATACTCGCAGTGGCCTCATGCCTTATCTCCTGAGATAGTCTTATACAAGGCACTTCAGGGGGGAAGCAAGAAATGAGGGATGTGACTTTTCTCTGAGACATGGGCTGCAGAAGTCAAGAGAAGTTAATTTTTGGCAAAAAGAAACTTAAGTAGACAAGCAGAACTCAAGGCATGAGAGTAAGGGACTTACCACACAGGTAGTCAAAGATGTTTTATAACAGAGCTGTTGTCCCCCACAGGCAAACAACTGCTAATTGTTGGGGGTGGGATTTCAACTCTGGCATCTCTGGACTCTGCACCATAATTCCTTCTTTTTTTTTAATAGTATGTTTTTTCCCAATTACATGTCAAGACAATTTTTAGCATTCATTTTTTACAAGATTCTAAGTTTCAACTTTTTCTCACTCTTTCCCTCCCCACTTTAGAAAAAAGTAGGCAATTTGATATGGGTTATACCTGTGCTATCATGTAAAACATATTTCCGTATTAGTCACAGTTGTGAAGAAACAAATCAAAAGAAGATAAACCATCAGTCCCTTGGTTCTTTATCTGGATGTAGATGGCATTTTCCTTGGTGAGTCTTTTGTACTTGTCTTGGATCATTGCGTTGCTGAGAAAAGCTGAGTCATTTACAGCTGATGATCACAGAAATGTTACTGACACTGATTAGGGTGAGGTACAATGCTCTCCTGGTTCTGCTCATTTCACTTTGCATCCGTTTGTAAAAGTCTTTCTGGGTTTTAGTGAAATCTGCCTGTTCATCAGTTCTTAATTCCTTCTTAACAACAACTTCTATCCCAACCCATCCCCATCAAAATGTTTAATCCAAAACTTATTCCTAATCCAAAATTCTATTTCTATTCCAAAGAATAGTCACTAATGGTTCAGAATCAGCTTAAGAGGTCACTAATAAGGTGCCAAGGATCTATGTTTGGCCCTGCACTGTTCATTACTTTTATCAATGATTTAGATGGCGTGCTTACCACTTAACCTAAGATTAAGTCCCTAAGCTTCCCTATGCCTTAGTTCCCTCATGTGTAAAATAAGGGAAGTTGTACTAGACCAGGGGTGGGAAACTCGCAGCCTCAACACCATGTGGCCTTTTAGGTCCTCATGTGTGACTCTTTGACTGAATCGAACTTCACAGAACAAATCCCCTTAATAAAAGGATTTGTTCTGTAAAACTTGGATTCAGTAAAAAGGCCACACCCATGGGCCTAGAAGGCCACATGTGGCCTCAAGGTCACAGGTTCCTCACCCCTAAACTAGATGATCTCTAAGGTCACCTCCAGCTCTAATTCTATTAAATTTCCATTTAAAAATTATTATTATATGTCAGATTTATGGAGAACAGGGCAATTTATGACCAAACAGGAGTTAGAGAACATTATGAAATGCAAAATGGATAATTTTGATTACATTAAATTGAAAAGTCTTTTGTACAAACAAAGCCAGTGCAACCAAAATTAGGAGGGAAGCAGAAAACTAGGAAAAAATTTTTTTACAATATAGAGAACTTAGTCAAACTTATAAGAATACAATTCATTCCCGAATTAATAGTCAAAGGATACGAACAGGGAGTTTTCAGATGAAGAAATTAAAGCTATCTATAGTCATATGAAAAAATGTTCTAAATCACTATTTATTAGAGAAATGCAAATCAAGGCAACTCTGAGGTACCATATCACACCTATCAGGTTGGCTAACATGACAAAACAGGAAAATGATACATGTTGGAGAAGATGTAGGAAAATTAGAACATTAATACATTGTTGGTGGAGTTGTGAACTGATCCAACCATTTTGGAGAGCAATTTGGAACTATGCCCAAAAGGCTATAAAAATGTACATACCCTCTGACCCAGCAATACCACTTCTAGAAAGACCCACATGTACAAAAATATTTACAGCAGCTCTTTCTGGTGGCAAAGAATTGGAAATTGAAGGGATGTCCATCAGTTGGGGAATGGCTGAACAAGCTGTGGTATATGAGTGTAATGGAATACTATTGTGCTATAAGAAATGATGAGGAGGAGGACTTCAGAAAAACCTGGAAAGACTTATATGAACTGATGCTGAGTGAAATGAACAGAACCAGGAGAACACTGTACACAGTAACAGCCACACTGTGTGATGATCAGCTTTGACTGACTTGGCTCTTCTCAGCAATGCAAGGCTCTAAGACATCTCCAAAAGTCTCATGATGGAAAATGCTGTCCACATCCAGAGAAATAACTATGGAGTTTGAATGCAGATCAAAGCATACTATTTGCTACTTTTTCCCCTTCTTTTTTGTTTTGTTTCTTCTTTCTTGTGGTTCCTCCTATTGGTTCTAATTCTTCTTTACAACATGACTAATGTGAAAGTATGTTTACTAGATTGCATGCCATCTTGGGAGGGAGGTGAAGGAAGGAGGCGGAGAAAATTTAAAACTCAAAAGCTTATGGAAGTGAATGTTGAAAACTAAAAATAAATTTAAAAAAATATTATAGATCAAAATGACATTTTTAATGAGATAAAGTTTACAAGAATATGTACTCAGCTTTGGAACTCAAGCTTGGACTGAACTATCCTCATTAGTGAATACAAACTCACTTAGCCCACTGTACCTATGCTTCATATCCCTTCTAAACATCTATCCGCCTTACCCCAGCCATTTTCTTGCCATCTACCCTGATGCTATTTTTTTTCAATTACAATAAAATATAGAAAATTCAAATAATTACTTTAGAAATATTACTCATGATACCATAAGCAAATTAGGAGAACAAAGAATAGTTTATCTGTCAAATCTATGGAGAAGGGAAGAACTTATGATCAAATAAAGGATAGAGATTATGAAATGCAAAATGGATAATTTTGATTATATTAAATTTAAAAGTTTTTGAACAAAACTAATGCAATCAAGATTAGAAAAAAAGCAAAAAGCCAGAAAACAATTTTTATAGCAAGAGTACAAGTCATTTCTCAATGGATAAATGGTCAAAGGAGATGAACAGGGAGTTTTCAGATAAAGAAATTAAAGCTATCTATAGTCATATGAAAAAATGCTCTAAATCACTATTGATTAGAAAAATGCAAATTAAAACAAATCTGAGGCACCTATCAGACTGGCTAATATGACAGAAAAGGAGAATAATAAACGTTGGAGAACAGGTGGGAAAATTGGAACACTAATGCATTGTTGGTGGAGTTGTGAACTGATCCAACTATTCTGGAAAGCAATTTGAAACTATACCCAAAAGGCAACCATACCATGTATACCTTTTGATCCAGCAATACCACTACTAGGTCTGTATCCCAAAGAGATCATAGAAAAGGAGGGAAAAGGACCCACATGCACAAAAATATTTATACCAGCCCTTTTTGTGGAGGCAAAGTGGAAATTGAGGGAATGCCCATCAACTGGGGAATGGCTGAACAAGTTGTGGTACAGTCTGAACATAATGGAATACTACTGTACTATAAGAAATGATGAGCAGGCAGATTTCAGAACAACCTATAAATGCTTATATGAACTTACATGAAGCGAGCAGAACCAGGAGAATATTGTACACAGTCACAGCAATATTCTGTGATGATCAACTGTGACATACTTAGCTCTTCTCAGCAATACAATGATCCAAGACAATTCCAAAAGACTCACAATGGAAAATGCTCTCCATATCTAGAAAAAGAACTATGGAGTCTGACTGCAGATCAAAGCATACTATTTTCACCTTTTTTTTTCTTTCTCATGGTTTTCCCCTTTTGTTCAGATTCTTCTTTCACCACACGACTAATTTGTTAATATGTTTATTATGTTTATACACGTATAACCTATATCAGATTGCTTGTCATCTTGGGGAGGGGGGAGGAAAGGAAGGGAAAAAAAATTTGGAACTCAAAATTTTATAAAAGTGAATGTTGAGAACTAAAAAAAAAAGTTCAAAGAAAGGCTTAAAGATTTTACTCATTTTGAAAAATATATATTTACCATTTATTTTAAAAAATTCAATTCTATTTAGATTGTTACATACAACTATCAAGGTAAATAATATAGAACAAAATATTCATATTAAGCAGTAGCTGCCCAATGCATAATTTAATTCGGGGCTTAAAAAAAAAAGCTGATGTTAAAAAAAAAAACCTTAGCTTTGAAAAATTCTGAGTATAGAAACAAGTCAATAAACTGTCATTAGTTTCTTAACTCAAAAATAGGCTTGGTTTAAAATTAATTTAATTTAAAAATATATCATCTTTCAATTTAGCAATGATAAGTTTTTAAAAATTAATCATATTCAGACTGTTCTTTTGAATTCAGAAGTGTTTCATTTTATGACATTTCAAGCTCTATCTAAATCAAAGTTTTCTCTGTACTTCAAAAAGCTTATTTACAAATCAGTCCATTGCTGCATAAAGGCTGCAATATATAGTAGAAATAGTATATGCAAAAATAATTGAAACAAGACCAAGCACGATCAAACAATTTTAACAACTATGCTTTTTCTTACTTTTGTAAGAATCATTACTGTGAACTCTAACACGTTTCTGCACAGAAGAAGCTATTTTCATGTTATCCTTCTTTGCAAGAGTCCTTTCAGTAGCTCCAGGTTTCCAGAGTAACAGTTGTGCATCCTCTCCACCAGTTAGTAAAGAATCATCCTGTACACTCCAACAGAAGGAACGCACTGTGGCAGAATGCCCTCCCTCAAGGCTTCTCATGTACGTCAGTCCTGAAGAGCCACAGTTTAATAAGTGAATAGTTCCTGTATTTGTACCTCCAACAACCAACAGTTGGTCTGTTTTCTCATGGTATAAGCCACCAACCAAATAATCCAGATTTCCATTTTGTACATTAATTACTTCTCTCACATCCTGGATATTCAAACATGTAACTGGCTGATCAGTCTCTAAATTGGCAAGATCCCACCAACAAAATCCTTCATCATGTGTCATACAGTAAATCTGTTTGTATTCCTTCCCAGACCAACCAACATAACTTACTGATGAACCAGAGTTACAAGTTGCAATCAGGGCATCTTCTTCATTGTCAATGCTTATATCAAAAACATTCACAAGTCCATCAGTTGATCCTGAGACTAACATGTTAGGGTTGTCAGGATGAAAACATACCTGGGTTATATCATCACTGTGTGTCTCTGAATAAACACCTAGTGGGTCTTTTACAGGGCATGTAGTTTGAGAACTAACTCTCGCATCCCAGAATACCATCAAAGTATCATCACCAACTTTTTCAGTGCCAGCACAAATTATATGATCATTACAATTAATATCAAAACTGATGAAAACATTGGAAGGATAACCCTTAAACACCTGTACTGGTGTTTTGCCAGATAAGCGCATATCCCAACATTTTACAGTGCCATCAGTGCATGCTGAAAATACATGGGAACAGGAATGTGCAAATTTGACTCCTTTAAGCAGTCCAGGCTGTCCATTAAGCTCCCTTAACAAACTTAAGGTCTCTCTATTATATAGTCTAACCGATCCATTGGAACATGAAACAGCAACTATGCATCCATTTTCTTCCGGTACATTTTTTGAAGTGTCTATGTCAAGAAGGTAAGTGGGCTCTTTAGTCACTGCCGAACGTTTAGCGATGGACAAATTCGCAAAATATTCTTCAATCTTCTCCATACCTATAGTTGCATTCAAAGGCAGTTAAAATCTGTAACAAGAACCAAAATGTAAGTTAAACTCAAACTTAAACACTCAAACCTCTTCAAAAATTACAATCAAAACAAAGGAAGCTGTTTTGTTTTTTGTTGCATAAAATGCAAAGAATAAAAAAAACTATTTCTGTAATAAGTTAACACTAAATCTAAAATCAACTGCCCTTCCACCAAGGTGAATGTAATCATAAATATTTTAACTAAACCAATAAGAGAAGAGATTCCACCATAGTTTTTGAAGTACAAGTAAGCAGAGGCAAAAAACTTCACATTGGCTACATCCAATTTATCTTTTGTCCATATTCATTACCTCTTCTGTGTCCTTCTATAGTATTCTAGCAGAGGTAGGTTAAGTAGAATAAAGAAATTATTTCAGTTTGCTGTACCCTTCTTATCCCTCCCCCTTCAACAAGAAACATTAAAATCTAGCTCAATTCTGGCCCTTGCTTGGTTCCCATTCCATTTTGGCTGTACTCAAAGCTCTGGCCATGACCCCCACGGATCCAATCTGCCTTATACAACTTTTCAGAAGACAATGAGGGGGAAAAGGAGCTCAGTATTAAAATGTATAGAGCAGTGAACCTGGAGTCGGGAAGGCCTGCTTTTAAAATCTCGCCTCAGAAATCAAGTGAAAAGCACTTATTTTCACCTAATAATTCTGGTGTAAAGAGGAAGTAAAAAATAGTGAGATAGTCAGGCAGCCTTGACAGTCCTGCCTCTGACACATACTGGGTATGGCACCTCTGGTCAATCTCAACCTCTCAGTGACCCGGGTAACTCATTAAAAATTATAAACTGTATAGAAGGTACCAATGATATACACATGCAAATACATTTGTCCTAGCCTTTAATTTGTTTTAAACTTGTTGATACTTTGTTACAGTTACTATAGCCTGTCAGTAAGAAATAAAGTAATCATCAGCAAGGACAGTCCACATCTAGGCAGACTGTCTTACCTTCAGCTAACAATTATTATTATCTTATCAGCAAAGATTATGTTTTAATACATACAGAGCAAGATTATATATGAACCCGTGAACTTTGATTATGTACATTTTTAAAAGTATATATTAAATCGAACAAAGTAGGAACAAAATTTCCTGTGTACCTCTTCTGACCTCCCACAAACTCTTTCAGGACATGCTGTCAATCCTCAACATTCGCACGTTGAACTTTGACAACTTCAAGCATTCACGTGCTGTTACTAGTAGCCTCATTTTCACTCTTGTGTTGGCAACTACACACATTCATAGCTACGTACAATAGAGAAAAAAAACGAGAGGCACAATGAGCACGTTTGTAGAGCTGCTGGTATCTTACTAGGTGTTTCACAGGTCTTGTTCATCTACCGTTGTAAAAAGCTCCCAGGCATTTTTTGCATATTTTTATTGTTTGCCTTTAAAATTTCAAGTTTTGTGTTGCAATTATACCTCCAAAGTATAGTGCAAATCCTTTGGGCTCTAAGGTGATATTGAGAACTCACTAGTCTTGGCATCTTCTGACAGCAGTTACTAAAGTCCCAGCAACCTCTCCCTTGGTTTTCAGAGGACAGCAAAGGTAGAGAGGTTTATAGCTGTATAGTAAACAGGACAACACCTTCACACTGCTATCTGACACAGTGGAATTAAGGTAAGATTCAGCTTAACAAATGTTTTAGTTTTTAAGACTTTTATTTGCTAAACAGTACTTGTGGTACAGCAGATTTCATGTGTTATGAGAAGTTGATATTTTCTGAAGTCAATGTTTTTTTTGTTTCTTTTATTAAGATGTTAGCACAAAAATTTAATTCTAGGGAATTATTAGTGAAAAAAAGATGTTTCACACTTTACCAATTTTATTTTGTGTACTGCATTTTATGGGTTATTTCATGGTTACTTTGTTAGGAAAAGTGCCCATTATCAGAATTAATGTTTTGTTATAAAGAATTATATCCATAAAAGTGTATTTCAGCAATCTCTAGTGAAAGATTACAGCTGTGTTTTTTTTTTAGTTGGTCCCGGGACCCTACCATTCAATGTGTCCAACACCTGCATGTTTTACTTTCTCACCTTTTTCTAAGAATGTTACCCCCTTGAAAGCTGAGGATTGACTGTAACTACAAATTAGACTGCAACTGCAGTGGGGAATGCCTCCCTCTCCCTATTTTTTTTAATCAGTTCAAAATGTACCAATTCAAGAAAATATAATTTTAGAACTGGAAAGAGGCTTTGAGATAATCTAGTCCAATTAAGGCCCAGAGGGACAAAGTTACACAGACAGTTAAAGAAAGATTCAAGACTAAATCCAAAAAGATCTTGACTATCAGAGAGGCAACTATAGCTACAATAATGTATTAAAGAGAACACATAAGGTCTTAAAGATTCTCAGGAAAACAGGGAGATTAGGAGAAAAGCACTTAATTTAATTCTGATATTAAGAGGTGCACAGACTAGTGAGATAGTGTCTGGACTTCTAGTCCAGTGAATTCCAGTTTCAGTGAAACTGTGCTGTCTGTCTTAAAGCCCTCTCTAAACACTGCAACTTGAACCAAGAGCCTCTGAAATCCTAGAGCATCCGCTGTCTAATGCCATTCATTTTAGCCATACATCAGATACCATCTTGTGAAACTTCATACTGAAATGTTACCTTTTCATTGTTTTTTAACTGTGTATCTTATCACCCTATAAGCTTCTCAAGGGGAGGAATTCTAGAAATTTCTCTGGGTGGCCAATAAGGTCTATAAAAACAATGTGTATGCAGTAAGTGCTTAATAAAAATAAAAATTTGCTTTAAAGGAGGACATCATGTTACCCGAGCACTGCAATATTATAATATAGCTAAATGCTATCTCTCTCTCTCTCTCTCTCTCTCTCTCTCTCTCTCTCTCTCTCTCACACACACACACACACACACACGCACACATGCGCTCACGCATGAACATTCTTGACTCATTGACTTTATAAATCCTTAAAGTTCTGGCGTTGTTTTTTTTTTGATGAGGCAACTAGGGTTAAGTGACTCACCCAGGGTCACATAGTAAGTGTCAAGTGTCTGAGGCTGGATTTGAACTCATGTCCTTCTGACTCTAGGGCCAGTGCTCTATATAATGCGCCACCTAGATCCCCCCTAAATCTTTAAAGATTTTCAAAAAATAACCTAATGATTCACAAATTTTTTTTTCTTCTTATCATGAAATCAAGATGTCTCTTATCTAGAATAGATGGGCCAGGCATAAAAAGAAGCAGCACTGTGTCCAATGAGGAGCTGAAGGAATTTTTTTCAAAGCCCGAATGGAAGTACTTATGATGAAAGAAAAACAAAAGCTAAACCTCCTGAAGAGCCCAAGGTAAAGCAAGGAAGTATAAGTACTGATTCAGTCATATGAGAAAGGCAATAGTATTTAACAGAAAAAAATAATGCATTAACAATTAGAAAAACTGGGCTCTGCCGCCTTAGTACCCTCATGTCACAGTGCGACCTTGGGTAACATTCAGTATTGCTATTATTCTTTTTTTAAAAGTTAATTATTAATTTAGCTTTCAAATATTAAAAACGAATCTTGACTTTCAACAAGTAGCCATAACAACTTTGTTATTATTCCTTCTTTCTAAGCCTCTTTCAATTATCTTTGTGCATTCATTCCATTTCTGTATACGTAATTTTAACTAAGATAACTGTAGAAGAGGTCATCTCTTTGGAGTATACGTCTAATCAAAGGCTAGCAGGGTCTAGTGACTTTGAGGGGTTTACTTCTAAACTGCTTTTAAGAGTTCTACCAGGTTTCTCAAGGTGATCAGGGAAAAAGGAAAAGAACCTATATGTTGCAGAATATTTATAGCAACTGTCTTTGTAGTGGCAAAGGACTGGAAATTGAGGGGATGCCCATCAATTCGGGAATGGCTAAACAAGTTGTGGTACATGATTGTGATGGAGTACTATTGTGCTATAAGAAATGATGAGCTGGCTGATTTTAGAAAAACAAGAAAGACTTGCAGGAAATAATGAAAAGTGAAATGAAGAAAAGCAAGAGAACAATGTATACACTAACAGCAATATTGTTCAAAGAATAACTATGAACAACCAAGTTATTTTGATCATAAATACTCAAATCAACTACAAAGGACCAGTGAAGCCATGATCTCCCTCCAGAGAAGTAACTGATAAATAGAAGTATGCACAGAATAATTTTATGTATATTTATAAATCTGTGTCAAATGGTAGCCTTCTCTAGTATGGGATGGGAAGGAAGGGAGACACTTTAAAACTTAAAATGTAACAAAAATATTAAAATTACTTTTTTCTAAAAAAAGAGTTCTACCAACAAGTATATTAGTATGCCCTTTCAATAATAACCATGTTTGATTTTTGTCATCTTTGCCAATCTGATAGGTCTGAGGTAGAATTTCAGGTGACAATTTGCTTTTATCTAATTTCAAATATTATTTTAACGTGTTTATTGATAGCTTGCCTTTTTTCTTTGGAGAACTGCCTCTGACCACTTACCTATTGTGGAAATGGCTCTTGTTCTTTTTTTTTTTTTATCAACTATATATCTTGTATATCACATCTTGAGATCAGAGAAATTTGCTGTAAACGTTTTTCCCCAGTTAACTCTCCTTTCTAATTCTAGTTATACTGATTTTGTTTGTGCAAAAACTTTTCATATGTTATCAAAATTGTTCATTTTACCTCTTTATAATCATGTCTATCAAATATTTGGCTAAGAACTGTTTCTCTATTCATAGTTGGAAAAGGTTATCTCCTACTTTAATTTATTTACATATACACACACACACACACATTTTATTTAGGTAAGGTGCTTAACTTTTTTGTGTGTCATAAGCTTTTACAGAGAGTAAAGCCTACTCATAATAATTTGTTCTCAAAGACATTGCCAGTCAGTCAAAAAGAATTTATTAAGTACCTATGTGCCAGGCACTGTGCTAGGATCTGGGGATGCAAAGAAAATCACAAAAGCGATCCTGCTCTCAAAGAACACAGTCTAATGAGGGAGACAACATACAAGCAACTATGGACAAACTACAGATTCAAGTAATCAAATGTCAAAGGGGAGAAGAGAATGTATTCCCCCACAGAGGAGTGATGTTACAAAGGTAAAACTGACATGCCTTGTCAACAGGACGGATTGGGTGGAAGAAAGCAAGGATCTGAAGATGACAACTTGGTTGGGAACCTAGGTGACCCAGGGAGAATGGTGGTAATGAGACATTAGGAAGGAGGGAGTGTTTGAGAGAAATAGGTAATAAGTTCAGTTTTGGACATGTTGCGTTTAAGATGTCTAAGGGACATCCAGTTCAAGATAAGCAGCTAGAGATATGAAACTGAAGATCTGGTCAGTAGAGGATAGGGCTAGACGTAGAGATAATAAATGACCCTCTGAAAGCAGATGAAATCCCTCAGTGAAACACTATGGAGAGAAAAGAGAAGAGGGAGCCTTGGAGGGATACCCGCAGTTAGTAGGAATGGCCTGGATGAAGAAATAGTAAAAGATTGAGGGGTGGTCCAAAAGGCAGGTAGAAAACAGCAACAACAAAACAGCACCAAGAAACCTCTGAGCATAGAGTATAAAGAAGAGAGCACCAGACAGAATAAAAGGCTACGGAGAAGTAAAGAAAGATGAAGATGGAGAAAAGGCCACTAGATTTGATGATGAAGAGACTACTGGAATGTAATCAAATACTGTTGTGCTATAAGAAATGATGAGCAGGCGGACTTCAGAAAAACCTGGAAAGACTCATATGAACTGATGCTGAGTGAAGTGAGCAGAACCGGGAGAACATTGCACACGGTAACAGCCACACTGTGCGATGACTGACTTTGATAGACGTGTCCCGCTCCAAAAGACTCACGATAACAAGTGCTATCCACATCCAGATAAAGAACTATGGAGCCCGAAGGAAGATCCAAACATACTATTTGCTCACCTTTTCTTTTGCTGTTTGGTTTTGCCGCTTCATTCTCATGGTTCCTCTCATCACTTCTAATTCTTCTTTACATCATGACTAATGGGAAAATATGCTTAATATGAATGTATAAGTAGAGCCTATATCAGACTGTGTGCCATCGTGGGAAGGGGGGAGAAGGAAGGGGAGAAAATTTAAAATTCAACATCTTATGGAAGTGAATGTTGAAAACTAAAAATGAACTGATTATTTAAAAAAAGAGAGATTACTGGTAACTCTGGAGAGAATAGTTTCAGCTGAATGATTAGGTCAGAAGCCAGAATACTTAAACGCATAAAGTAACATACAGG